TGGATGTGTCTGTACGATGCGACATGTACTGGCGGACCGTGGGGATCTCCACTGTTGGCGAATCCTCTCCGATATATCACCGTATTATCTCCTACTGCTTGAACCTCGGATAGGAATATCGAGCAACAGGAAAATCAACTTACCTTGTTAATGTCCCTGCTTACAGAGTCCTTTCAGTTTTCTGTACAACGCCCATCGCTACTTTATACTGGGATGCTGGGCTCCTATCAGCAATGGTAGCTCTGGAGGAGGTCAAAATTCGATTCACAACAAGGCTTCAGATGGTGGATGAGAAGCATTCACTGATTTCACAGATGGCATCTTCAATGATCACACAAGAAAGAGAGGCTGGAACTTAGCAGAATTTAAAAATCAAGATTCAGCAGTTGAAGATGCTACTATCTGCAGTCAATAAACCCACATTTGTCATCTCACACTACTCAGAGGAATGCGGGACAGATCTCACAAAGAGTGTAAATAAAAAGAATGCTGTTCAGACATTCAAAAAATGGTGAAGAAGTCAACTCTCAACAGATTTATATGTTTTCTTAGATGAATTAGAATAGAATCTTGACAATATCAGGCAGATGAGCTATGACTTTATAATTTATCAAAGAAATAAACAGCTGATTAGTTTCTCAGCTGTGCTAAGCTCTATATCACATGTTTTCAACACTGAGACAGTTGATGTCTGCTGGGCATTAGAGTGCATCATGAAACTTTTACCTTGTGTCACAAAGCACAGCAGCAATCTTCAGATCTGACTCTGTTTCAACAACATTTCAATCATATAAAGCATATGAAGCAGTGCAGCAGCCTTCTCAAACTGAGTCTACAACTGCTGCTATGAGCTTCTCAGACAGCACAATGTCAGTCTGAAATGGGCTTCTCAGCATATGAGAATAAAGGGTAATGAGAAAGCAGATCATTTGACTAAGCAGACAGTCTCATCCACTGCAGTCTCAGTCTATGATTTCAAGATCACACTCACAGTCAGTGGGGTCTACACAGTGATCAAGCAGCTCAATCAAGAGACAAGATGAAAGTGATGGAGTGGAGTTTGTGACAAGCTCTCTGACTGATACCAGGGCTGGAGTTTCAGCAGGCCGACTCTGGAATACCAAGTGAAGGCCCCTTTGAAACTCACCATGCCACAGCATGCCCTTCACCACTGATTTGTACTTCACTCCTCTTATGAAGACTTCTTCTGATACCACAGACATTTCCAGCATGCAGATGTAAGGCTTATCTGTGTCTGTGAACACAACAAGAGCTCAGAACATTTGATGCTCTATTGACATTTACAGAGGCACTTTCTTCACTGATGTCACACCCTTGGTTGTGCCAAGGCCCCGTGACGGCTCCACACGGCCCATCGTTTCCCCTCGGATAATCCCATCTATCCCATGACGTCACGCAGGTGTCCGAACCGGTTTCCAACCACCCTATGACATCATTCAGATGCAATAGAAGAGGATCCGATTGATGATATATGATTAACCTGTTTCTATGATGGTTCTGGATTCCGTCGGGGAGAACAATGCA